ACTGGAAGAATGTACCTCAAGATCTGGAATTAAAGTTGTGGTTGAGCTGGAGGTTCACATAGGGGTGTAAGGGATGTTAAAGAATATTTTTGGTCTTTGGGAGCTGACTGAACCATTTGGTTTGGCTTGTTTTTGGTGTTTATCTTTTTTTTTTTTTTTTTTTTTTTTTTTTTTTACCTATAGTTTGGAATATGAAAGCAGGGCAGAGCTGGACTTTGGATGTGGGACCAGGCATGTGGTATCACCACGTTCTCCTGGGCAGCAGGATGCTGATCAAACGTGGTCATGTTGCTGTGACTGAGGTCAGATGTTGATTGTTTCTAGCTTCAGGCTGGCTCCAGCCTCCAGGTTTTCTGTATTCTTTTGTAGTCTAATTCCTGAGACCTCATGAGTTGTCTATTTAACATATTTTCCACTAATACTGGAGACACAGTTACTCCCTGTTCTCTAAATTTGTGTCACACTGTGCCCCTTGGTTGTCTCTTGTAGATCTTAAGGATGTCATGAGACACGAGCACAGGGAGTGGACATGCTCTTCAACCAGCCAGCTGTGTCATGGACATACAGGACTGCAAGAACCTGCGCTTAATGATTATTGTTGTCCCTTTCATTCTTTTTCCTGCGTGAGATTGCCTTTGCAGACAATAGCATAATACCTGCCTTAGTTCTGCGTCACATAATTTGGGAGCGGGGAGATCTCATTAAATCCTTCAAGCTGATTCTTACTCAGAACAGTAGCATGAAAACTCAGACAAATCTTTGCCAACATCTGGAAGTTTTTGCAAAAATAAGGCAATGTGTGAACAAAGAGCTTAGCTGCCACCCAGCAGCTACATCAGCTGCTTTGTGGACACAGTCTGCCCCAAACCTGCCTGTTTGTGATTAGGTTAATCCCTGGTTTCATAAACATCGTGTGCTTTGCTGGTATACACTCCTCATATAGAAATAATCTCAGTAATGAATAAGAAATTTCTAAATAGCGTTGTGACCCAATAACAGAGAGAAGACAAACTGTTCCATGCCCAGTGAGGCTGGCAAGTGTAATATAAAGTATTATTAATTTCACGCTGCATTCCTGTTGTAGCTTTCCAACATGATTTCTCATGGGCATGAAATTATCTCTCGCACACTATAATGACAGGACACTTCCAGCGTATTGCTCTGGACTGTAAAAGTTGGGCCACATTACTGGTATTTCCCTGCTTTCTGTTTCACTACTCAAGAGTTTATTTTTTTATTATTTTTTCTTGCCAAGAAGGGCAACGAGACCCATGTTGCTTCAGGCTGTAAATTGTAAATGAGTAGCATGATGATCTGTAACTTCGAAGCAAAGGTCAAAGGCTTTTTTTCTGTGTTTTTTCTGTGTTCTTTAACTGGATCTTCTTTGATGTTTACACTGCACATACATCATGATTATTATATCCCGCGCTCTGGCATTATTAATGCAACTACAAATGAGATGACTCAAGTTATGAACAGCCAGTGCTTCAGTCTAATGCAGACAGATATAAAAGAGGAAAATGAGCTAAATAAAAACACTTATTAAAGGGATTGTTCCCTGGTGTAAATGTGCTTAAAGAGAGTACGACTAAATGGGAGGATACTGTTCCTTTCTGGAGTCATTTTGCAACCCAGAAAATCTTTGTTCATTGATTTGAAAAATAAGAGAAGATTTTGGGGTAAAAATAAGGAATTTTAAATCCTCTCAGCAATATTTCATTATATGCCTACTTGTTTCATGAAATTAAGCTAGTGACGGTTTGCTTTACATTTTATGTGGCACATTTAAAAACCAGTTCTGTGCATAGACTGGAGAGCTGCAGAATTCCCAGGGAAAATCTCAGCGTTATCAAACCATGAGGACACAGCTTTTATTTGAGGCATAAAATAGAACAATGCCTTATCTGTTTTAAAAGCTATTTTCTTATAGAAGTAGGTTTGTAAGAACGTGCAATATCTCACAGAGAAACTTGCAGCTGATTTAGCACTAATTTACTCTCTTTTTTTTGATGTTATTGCAGTGGGTTTGGTGGATGCTTTTTCTGCTGGATGGAGAGATGTTACTCTAGAGGTGCTGCAGGAGCATCTCTGCAGAGCAGCCTTGGGATGCTGTGGGTACCTGGGGCTGGCAGCGGGATGCCATCCCAGTGCACATCCCAATGTTGGGTTAACCATTTTGATCAGTGTTGTGTTAAAAGAAAAGTGCTCCATTTGGATGCATTTACATGCAAAGGGCAGTGACCAGTAAAACATTATTCTCAAAGGTTTATAGTGGGACATTTGCAAAATTAAACCCTTTTCTCCCCAGCCATCGATTTTTAACGCACTTCACAAAATGGGTTTTGTCTTCAGTGAAAATGATGTAACTCCAGAGTCCTGTTACTAACAAGTTCAAAGTGTTCTTAAACACAAGCACATCATGTAAGGCTTTTCAGAGCCTTCCATGTTATGCATTTTGCAAAGATTGTGGTTTGGAATTTAATTTCAATTTTAATCCCATTTAGATCTCAGTGCCTTTGTCTTTGAAGCAGGAGTAGTCAAAATGGTGACTGCAGTTGAAAAATACTCATTTTGTATGCGGAGTAACAACTCTTTAATAAGAAATTTTACTGCAGTATCTTAATGTGCAGTTTTATTTGCCTATTATTTTTAGCGAGCATTAATAAAGCCTTATGTTTGGGGTTTAACACCTTAGCTATTTCCCATCATAACAGGTTGAAATTTGGCATAGCAGTGGCAAACTTCATTTCAAAATTCTCGCAGAAAATTGTAAACAGCGTATTGCTAATTCTTAAGGATTTTGTTAATTTCCACACTTTGAAGCCTGTCAACTTAAATGTCAGATAATGTGACATCCATATGGACCATTAGATCAATGAGAGCATAGGACCAGAGCTGCCTCAAAGTGCACATCCTGTAGTGACACTTCTGAAGTTCTCGAACAGCCAAAAAGAAGAAAAAAAAAAAAAAAAAAAGCAAATTGTCAGAGTTACAGTAGGAAAGGGCAAGACAGCTAAAACTGTCTTAAAAAAAAAAAAATCCTTCATTCTGTCATTTTGGAAAAGTTCTGAAATTTCAGTTTCCAAGTTGTGAATATGGTGCTGCAGCAGAGATCTGGTTTTAAGCCAGCTTCAGATTTAGCAAATTTTGAGCATTCAAAGTGCAAGCGGAATGCTTTCCACCAGGCTCTATCTGGGTATTAGTCTGGTTGATGTTTATTTTGACTTTATGTGGACCACGTCCTAACATTAGAACATCATATTTTTTTCTCCTTGCTACAGAGTAATAATCCAAATGTTCTAGTTCCCATGGATACTTTTCTCTCTAAAATTGTTCAGATTCATGGAATGTGAGTGCAATTGACATTAGTAGTATGTTGTAGTAACTTACAATATCCAGGGTTTATAGTAAAATATTCTATATATATTATACAGTTCATACTAAATAGCTGGAATATCTTTTATGATTAAAGCATCAGTAACGGTGTCACTTGGGCAGAAGCTGCATTACACTTCATTTGAGGTATATTCATTTTGGCAATGTAACATCTCATTTGACATGAACGCGTATTGCACTATTGATTTTCATGGGTACTAGAATAATAAAAACATCAGGCAGCAATAAAGAAAAAAATGTGCTTTTTCTGTATACACTATGTTCGGATGCAGCTCAGAGCCTTAGAAGTAAACATAAAACCCCTGTTGTTGTACAGAAATATGAAGCACTTTATTTTACACTATGCAATGTTCGTATAGCAAGATTTTAACTCAAATATTGTCTTAATTCTGCGGAGCTAAGCTCTCTTAAGCATACTGCACAGAAGTGCTCTTTCTTTAGAGAGGGTCAATGACTTTCTTTTTCCTTGCTTATTTCCAGGAAGGCTGATCTACTATAAGTTTTACTTATAGATTTATTTTTTTTTTTTTAACATTACAAATTTTGAGTGCTTGCCAGGCTTCACTCCTAAGCAACTCTGCTACTTGGTATAACCAAAATTGAGCAAAGCCTTGGAAGAAATGGTGTCCAGTATGTCCAGTCCTGGAGACCTTGGAAGGTCAGGAAGGAGCCTGTGACGGTGACCTCCTACTATTGTATTAGCATTGATACATGGGAAATTTCCAGTAGTGCTGACACTACCAGTTACCAATATTCCCATGGACTGAGTTAAGTGGTAGAGAACTCAGTGGAGGTGGGGAGAAACTCCTGATTTTACAGTATTGCCTTTATCTGCAGCGTCTTGGGCACTAGGTGTTCCAGTGCATCCAACCGCTTTGGAAAACTGTTTATTGCTATGTTCCTGAGCATATTTTTCAGGAAATATGAGTTAATAATGTGGTGTCATCTTAAGGTACAAGCTTGGGTAAATGATTTTCAAAGTAACTGATCTTTATTTTTTTCTTTTCTGGAGATGATCTTAAAAAATTATATTTGGATTAAACTGGTTTGGTTTTTATTTTAAAGAATTTTTTTTGAATAATAAGTTCAGTTCAGGTGCAGAAGAATCTACTGTCTCATGGTAAGGAAAAGGCAATGCCCACAAAATCCTTTGTCTGTCTGCTATCCATTGCTGACTCCTTTTCTTGGTGAAAGTAAGTCAGTTTTTATAACACCTTTTAGCTTTCAACATTCATTAAGCTAAGTTGAAGGTGGGGGTTTGAATTTAATGCCTTGGAACAAAACAGTGGAAATATTTCTCTTCTATTTTTCGTTTTGTGAAATGAATTCAGACAAAATGAGTTTTGTTAGAAATCAATAGTTAATTGAAAGATGTGGTATGTTTTATCATTAGTTGTTAAAAAGAAACTCCCAAATAGTAAAATTAAGTTTTTAGTGCAGGCTATTTATGGAGTTTATTGCATTTTTATGTCATTGTTAGAAATACAATGTGTTATTAGAAATGTGTATATTTCTTAATCTTACATATTTCTTAACTCTCAAATCTAAATTAAAAGATATTATACCAAGATTGCTATTAATTTACTTTCTTTACAAAATCTTAGGCTAATTGGCTGGTGGGGTCATGACTTCAAGACACGATTCCTCATGGAAAACAGTATGTACTTGTATAAATTTTCAGTTTTACCTTAATTGATGTGTTTATATAAAGCCAGCTTCACTTTTATAGTAGCTTGAGTAGAAAGGATAGAACTTTGCGTTTCCTCACTTAGGTTAAAGGTATTAAGCTAAACTCATCTCAAATATGGAATGGAATGGAGTTAAAATAAATGTGGGAAGAAATTTGGTCTCTGGGCATATGGGTCTGACTGTCTGCTTCTAGACATTTTGCTGAAATACCTTCCAAATGCAGCTATAGAATATGGATGAAACATTCAAAGTATCTCAGTGAATTAACCTCCTAAATCTCTAAGGAGCGAGGATCTGCTATCATTCGCTTGGGTAATACCTTACTTTAGGATTAACTCCACTGGAATTAATGAGAAATTACATAAATAAAGGTAAGGCAACCTGACATAAGTCATGAAATGCCACTAATGTTTCATCATCTCCAAATTCCTTGCACTGGTTGAGGATAAGTAAGACAAAACCCAACCTGCTCTGAAATAGCACTTTATTGTCCCAACATGAAATGAGGACTCCTTTCCAAATCTGACAGCTAGACTGCTCAGCTCCATTTTAGAGTATGACAGAGAGAATATCCTGAGGGATCAGGAGGAGAAAGGAGCTTTTGGGTTCACTTGGTTGTTTTGTTCTTAATATATTTTTAATTTTCCGTGGCAGAGCCCGCTGATGTGACTTTGGCTGGAGAGCACAGCTCTAATAGCCTCAGCCTGCTCTTTGTTTTCTGACCAAATGGAAGAGAGTGGCACTGCGGAAAGCCAGCAGGAGACACAAATTGCCCTGAAATACTGTTAGAAGAAGAAAAACGTTGTTGATTCCTTTCCATGGGCGGTTTATAGGGGAGAAGTTGGGTAACAGTCATGATGAAGTTAGCCAGTCTGCCGTGCAGGAAAAGCGTTTCCTCTACAGCATCCTCTTGCTCCGGTGCTGAAGCATGAAATATAAATGGTGACACAGAACTTACAGCGAAGTTTTATGGATTTATTAAAGACATTTTTGTGAAATTTCACAGCCTCAAGTCTACGCAGCTTCTCTAAGAGGCCTGAAGCTACACTTAGCTGCATATGCCGTCTCCCGCGTGTCTCGTCAGTTTAATAAAGTTAAGGAACGTGATTCCCTGCTCGTGGCAGCGCCGTGGCTCCGCGCGATTGTGCCTCTGCTGACTCGGGTTTTCTCTGGTTTGTGCCAGCGTTCAAAGAGATTCAAGTGTAAAGGTGGTTTTAACACACACCATTTAAACAAATTAATTGCCATTCTTTAGTTCCCGTGAAGCTGCTAATGAGGTCTTCCACTGGATAAAATTGGGCTTCTCTCGAAGTTGAAAGTATTAGCTGTGAACAGATTACCATTTCCTTTTAATGACCCATTCCTACAGGCCACGTTAGTGAAATATTTTATTGCATGAGGACGGACGTCAAGATAAGGTCCAATCCATTAAAAGCAAGAAATCAAAACCACTAATATGTTATTCCTTTTCCAGAATTACAACTAAGTGAAGGAATTAATGGATTTCGGTTATCGAATCCTCCAATTTTACTGGTCTGTGCTTTGCAAGCTAGCTTAGAGGTAAGTAATTTCTTTACTTTGAGCCTGAATTTAAGAGCATAAAAATGTTAAATGAATGTTATGCATTTTGTTGCTGCCTCCCTTCAAAAAAGTTTGTAAAACAGTTAGAAAGCAAAGGGGGGGAGGGAATGAGAAACAAACAAAATCACCCCACAACCCTGAGAGGCCAAGGCCTTTAATAAATGTGCTCATCCCTTCACTGTTCTCACAAACCTTGCTGCTGGACCCAGTATACATGAGGTTTGCACCTCCAAGCCTGACTGCTACCATTGTGTTTGTCCCAATTTTTAGTGGCTCGGTGTAAAGAGCAGCTTTTCCCACAGATGGATTCAGAGCTTGCCTCAGTGCAACTCATGGAACCATAGAATCACAGGATGGTTTGGGTTGGAAGGGATCATAGAGATCATTGAGTTCCACCCCCTGCCATGTCCAGGGACACCTCCCACTAGCCCAGGTTGCCCAAAGCCTCATCCAGCCTGGCCTTGAACCCCTCCAGGGATGGGGCATCCACAGCTTCTCTGGGCACCCTGGGCCGGGATAATTCCTTCCTGGCTCGGAAGGGGTGACCCATGTGCTGAAAGCCCTCCGATCCACCTTGGAGAGCACAATTCCACACTGTCTGACAGCATGCAGCTGTTCTCCAAACACCTTCTGTCACCCTGCATTTCATATTGAGACACAGCTGCATTTCTCTTACTGGTACTTCACTCCTGAAATGCAAGACTCTGGGTCTTTGGGACTGGAAAGGATCATTTTACATAGATTTCCCTACTACATGCTACTATATTAAAAAATTTTCCTGAGCTGTTTTTCAAGCCAGCCTTGGTTAGCATGTTTTTACCATCAGCAGAATGGGAGAAATGTATTTCTCCTAGAGTTCCATTAATGCTAGTGTAACAGCAAAACTGATGCTGGAACAAAGAGCAATGTCCATACACCGTAAGTCCCTATTTATTTACTGAAAAAAACAGCATCTTATGCAAACAAAGTTAGAAAATTGCCAATTGTGTTCTCTCCGGCTTACACGCAATGCTAAAGGACTGCAAAAGGCACAAGCAACGCTACTCATCCTGCATGACAATTTATTTTGTTAGTCCTTAAGCATCCAGTATATATTTTTTAAAAAACTTTATGTGACCTTCGAGACAAGCTGAAAGCTATTCTGCTATGACCCAGATTGTCAGCGTTCCAGTTTGTGTGGGTTGATGTCATTTAGCCCACTGCAGGGAGCCTCCGTCAATGAGGGCTGAGCAGTTTCCATCGCCTCCCCTTTCTGTGCCTGCATTACCTTTTGGCACAGCCAGGATTTCCCAGTGCTAATCACTCTAATACAGTGGGAAACAAAATAGTTTTCACGTCTGGCAAGAGATGGCTGGTGAAATTGCATGCCACCTTCACTGGGACACATTAAGCAGAAGGCAGTGTTTCCAATGGAAACGATGAAAACTGCAAGTGTTAATGCATGTTATTCCTCAATAATGCTTAAAGTGACTGTTATGGTGGTAGCTGCTCCCTTTTATGGAAAAAAAGGGAGTGCTCTACAGCCACATTTAAAAGATCTTTTTCCTAAAATTTCACCCAGGAGGCCAAATATTCCTTGCAGAAAGCCTGAGCAAACAGATTTTTGCATGCAGCCTAAGGAGATCCATCCGTCAGCCTGCTGCAAAGCCCAGAGGAGGCAGGTTCATAGAATCATAGGTTTTCATTTTACATCCAGTAACGTGCTGAGTGGTCGTGTGTGTGCTCTGCCTGCCCGTGTGGGGAGGGAAATGCCTCTAGATTTTTATTGACCTGCACAAATACCAACTGCTGGCGGTTCTGGTCCTGGTCACATTCATTTCCATGGCTGCACTGTCTCCGTGCAAAGTCTGTCTTGCAGCAGCCATATTTTTTGTTTCACAGGAAAAATAATAGAAGGCTTTTGGTTTTGTGCAGTGACTAGTGGTTGTGATAGAATCATGGAGTAATTCTTGGGATGTCCTACAAAAGAGTGATTTCCAGGTGCTGCTGGAAACTGGACCTTATTTTAAGTAGGATTCCTGAGTTACCTCTTTATATGCTCTTCCAAGTTCTATGATATAACCAAGCTTAAAAGTACTACTCCTTCAGTGTGGAGCAGTGATTTCTTGAGTGTGAAGACCCTGGACTTTCATACAGGACCTTCACCTTGCCTCTGATTTTGCAGCTGCAGTCAGTGGAGGCATACCTGTCCATGAGCAGTGAGATGGCATTTACGTGCCAGGATCTGATCTGAAGCGACCATCGGGTACTTGCGTGTCTATGTCTTGTCATCCTTCCCTGAAGCTACTTGCATGGGAAGAAGAAAAGGGGGTTTTGGGAAAGGCAGGGCTGAATTATTTCCGGGCTCACGTTTTCTGTTGTTCCCTGTAACTGAGCCTTTCTAGAGTACAAGCAGGAGCTGCCTGACCTCCTTCTGTTCCCCAACTCTTCTGCCGCACGTTTTGTTCTTGTTGGTGTGGCAAAGTAGTGCCATTTTTAAGGAGATTTTTAAACAATCACTTTTACGTGTTTCATGACATTTTGAGTTTCCGCAGCTCACCAGTCCTTGTAGCTGTGTAAGAGTGAAGAGCTATTAAAACAGAATCAAGCAAACATTTTTTTTCTAGCAGAGGAACAGAGACAGAGCCTGCAACCCTGCCTGTACAGGACTTAAAATGTTAAAATCAATACATTTATAGATATGTTATATTTTCAAAGACAAGAGTTTGCAGATCAGTCATGAAGTTTCAGCCTTGCCCTTGCCTTTTGTTACTAGAGCTACATACAAGGAAAATCTTGCATGTGATTTTGAGTTTCATGTGGCCCTACTGAATGTATAGAGAATGTATGGATCCTCTTCAGATATGCAAAAGACTACTCTCTCAGCAAACTGGTTTTGTGTGCAAATTCCTTTATGTAGATATGTCTACTTTAACAATAGACAGAAATGTCTTTCGTTATCTAAAGATGTTATCTAGAATGTCTATCTGATATTACCACGTGATTCCAATGATAATACATACAAATAAATCTGCTACCTAGTCAAGTAAGAATGATGGTTTGGTCCCTGCATTACCAAAACTGTTTAAAAAGCTCTGAAATAGCCTTAGACTTCTTCACTTTTTATTTTCCACAGCAGCGCGTTACCATTCTAATTATTTAAATTCGTTACAGGTTTTTGGTCAAACTACAATGAAAGCATTGAGGAGGAAATCTGTTCTACTCACTGGTTACTTGGAATACCTGATCAAGCATTACTACAGTGAGGATAAAACAAATCCAGAGAAGCCCTTTGTAAAAATAATCACGCCATCTCAGGTCGAGGAAAGAGGCTGCCAACTCACCCTATCTTTTTCCCTTCCAATCAAATCTGTGTTTAAAGAGCTGGAGAAGAGAGGAGTAGCTGTGAGTAAATCAGACTTCATCTTCTTGTACGCTGTTTTGTGAACCATACCAAAGTTATAGTATTTGCTTTTATTCAAATATAGCCTTGTATAAGCTCAGAAAAGACTGATGAAAATTGCTTACATAGCATCTTCAATTTATTAAGACAAGTTATTTTATAAGTCTAATAAGTAGAGTTATTTTATAAACTATTTGTTAGTCTGCAGATTGTCCTTTATTGATTTATTTCCAATAGTTCTGTGAATAGCACCTAGGAGTTGCTACTGAGGCTAGAGGCATTTTATGGGTGCGTTATGGTGGGAGGCATTGTGGATTTGAAGCTGATGGTCTGAACAGGAGTGATAAGGAGATGTTCTTTGCGAGGCATCGAGGTGGAGCAATTAAAAGGTGTCATTTCCTTAGAGATGAGTTTTAGCACTCAGAAAAAGAGGCCACTGAATGGCAATGCCACGTAACGGCACAGTTATAGGTGAGCACTGCTCAAAAAGAATACAAGCTAAATTTGAGGCTGTACATCTGGTGATTTAGAAGTTCTCGGAGGTAAAGCGGATAGCGTAATGCCATATAAATGATATATGGGTTTTATTTCTGCTCGTGACTTGTGTCCCCAAAGGGCAGCTCTTCTAGGCTAAATCTGCTGCTGTTTTTGTGCTGCCAGGGAATTCCAGGAACTGCTGCTTTTAAGAGGGCAGGGGGCCCTACTCCTTTGGCTTGTCTTCACGATGCAGTAATATGCTTCCAATGCGAGAGATTATCTTATTCAGCAAAATGTCCAAAGCCACAGATGGGGGTAAAAAAAATACTGCAAGCCCTGTGACATTGTCCCTCTAGTACCAGACACTATCATACTGGCACGTGTCTGCTTTGTGGGGGCTTTTTTGCCACCAGTGTGCCTCTTCAACTATGGTTGCTATAGGTGCTAAGTTAAATTATGGGGATACATAGCTGGTTTGGAGACCCTCAGTGGCACTGCTAGAGTCCTGCCCCTCCTGAGCCTTGCATCCTTTTTTAGGGAACACACCACTCTTTTTGCTATGTTCTTCACAATAATGCTCCTTGGAGTAGTTTCTCGGTGGTCCCAAATGTTTCACATGTGTTTCCTTCTTGGTCTAGTCATTCTTCCTTGAAGACAAGAATGACATTTGAAAAACATAATCTGACAGATAAATATGAAGTGACCTGAATTTACTAAACGTTCCCTTTCTATTTTGCAGTGTGACATGCGAGAACCGAATGCTCTTCGCGTTGCCCCGGTTCCTCTCTACAATTCTTTCCGTGATGTGCACAGATTTATTGAAATCTTGGGATCTGCAATTACATCTTCAAAACAAACAGCAAACAATACTCCGCTATCTGCTTCTTATTGATGGCTCAGCTGTATCTTTTAATCTATTTCTGACTAAGATGCATTTATCCCGCTGAGCAATTCTTTGCTTCGAGTAGACTGAGCTATATCCTATGCAATTTGCAAAAAAAATGACTGTGCTTGAATAGTTATTTACAACAGACATAGTTTTATTAAAGCTCATATTTCCACTCTGCTTTGACTTTGACTTAATGAATTAGTATGCTTTGTATATTTTAATGGGGCTTTTCTTAAACATGTTATGTACTTTCATTACATTAGCTTTGAGAAGCATGGAAGAATTGCTATCCACTAGAACAGGAATGAGAAAAAAAAACTCATCTTTATTGTAAAAGTGATGCATAATAAAAAGTGGAAAATAGACAAATCACCAACGGTTAAAAGATACAGTCCAATTTACATTTTTAATTTATCAGTTCTATTTAAAGTACATAGTATACTTGAAAAGTAGAAGTTGAACAATTAGTTGTTTAAAAACTGTTAGCTACTGCATACAGAATTTTTCAAAGGGCCCAACATTTTGGAATTCTAGTTTAATGGTTTAATTGAAGAATGAATTTGTGTTGTGGATACCTTCTTTAGTGTGATACAGTTGGCTAAAACAAAACATTTACTCTTTATCTTTCCAGTTAGTCATCTTGGAGGTGATCTGCTTGTAAAGCTGAGAACAATGTTAAACTGGTGTAAGCCAGTATCAAGGACTGTAGGAGCACTTGCTGCGGTTTTACCAAGGCTTATTTTGGATTAGGCAAAATGAACGCTGGCCTGGTTAAGCAGCAGCAAAATATCTTATTGTTAACTTACAGCGTGGCCCAAATTTTTACAGAGATTTGAAGTAGACAGCTACAAGCAATGAAGAGAAACTGCTTACAGTTAACCAGCGCTTTACTCAGTGTTGGATTAAGACATTAATAACACCTTGGCATAAATGGCAACGAAGCTCCTAAGTCTGTAGCTATTCAGCGCTCTCACTTTTTCAAGAACCAACTAAAACTTTCTCTCTGATGATACTCAGTGTGTCTGAATTTCAGTATGAAACACTTAGAAAATTACTTTTGGTAATACTTATTTTTATTTGACTTCAAGATTGAGGAAGGATTGGGGGGAAGAAGGGAGGACTACTCCATTTTGGCTCAAGGGCATTTTTGCTGGTTGAAATTTTCACACTCTTTAAGCATCTCCTGCTGCACAGGGAAACCCAAGGGACTTCACAGTGTCTACTTTGTGCTCTAAAATTCCCTAAAAATGGGTAATTTTAAAATCCCTGCTGCAGCAATATCTATTTCATTGGTCGTAATGTGTAGGGGAAAGCTGAAAGAAGTGCAAATAAATCCTTTGTTGGTATTTTTAACACCTGTGAAGAGTCAGAACAGCTTCTTAAACTAGAATATTGTTCTAAAGATGAGCAGAGGAGTCTTAATCAGTTGGAAAGCTCTGGCTCACTCAAGAGGTTTTGATTACACTGACGTCAGAGCTCTTTAATTCATCTGAGACTGTGTCATTGTATTGCAGACCAGGTATCTGTACTCCAGTGGCTGCTGTTTTATTTTTATTCTTACAGCTGCAGCACAGCTACTTTCATCCGTCAAGTGACACGATGTTAGAAAAGGACCATTTTCCATAAAGTGACTGTTGATGAAAAAAGCACTGAATATAAAACTGACAGTCCACAGTGTTGAAAAGGGATTTAATTCACCGCCAGTGCCTTTGAAGGACTTGTGCTGGGGTACAGCTCTGGCTAACACTTATGTCTTCTCTGTAAAGTTAGGCAAGCTTAATATAAATCCAGATGTGACACTAGGTGCTAACCTTATTGTGCTATCAGCTGAAACTCGGTTGTGTGACAAACCCAGGGAGAGTAAGAACCTCAAAATCTCTTTCTAAATAACAGGTGGACATCAGGTTCGGACTGTCTTGGAAGTGACAGGGAGAGAAATGGTGAGTGTTGAGGTGGCAGTTTGGCCTCTGCAGTAAATTCACAAACTGTAAAGACAATTCCTTGTGGTTCTGATTGAGGAAAGTGAACCAAGCAGGGCAGGTAAAGTGCTTGCTGAATCTGTACAGTCCTGGTTTCAAAAGATAACAGATTATTAATAAGTGTTTAATATTATTTTGTCTTTCAGCAACACTTCAGGCTATAGGTACAAATATTGACTTTAGAAATAAGCATTTGTGTTCTATTTGATGGATTTGATTAAATTCAGTGTGTCAAACCTCACTTATTTCAACTTTTCTGAACTACTCTTTTGCCAGCTAGCTGTGAAGATAAACATGAAAGCTCCTTGCTTTGACAGTCATATATATAAATTCAGAAAATTATTTTCCAAAAAGTGATGGAAGCCTATATTGCATTTTACCAACATAAAATTGCAGCATAAGCACCAGTTTCACATGGTCGTTCTCTACTTGTAGTAAAAGTTTTGCAAAATGAATAATACTGAAAGTTAACATTAGGTGTCAGTATTTTACATATTATTTAGTGAGAGAATATCAAGTGAAAGAGCTTCTGTGCAACAAAAAAAAAAAAAAAAGAGGAATATTAAAATTTGCTTCAAATGCTCTAAGTTATCTCAGTTAGAGTAATACCAGGAATAATTATGTGTGAAATAATTAATTGTATATACCCCGAATGCTTCTTGCTAGTTACAGCTCTGATTTAAAATTCTGTATTAAATACTCCTGCTTTCTAATTGTAAAACCACGACACATTTAGTTCTTTGATTGTCTGAAGAAATTACATTTTTCAAGTTAAACTGCAAGACATGAGTGTCTGTAGATGACAAAAAATTGATACCCAGGTAGAGTGATAAAATGCCTATAAAATGAAAGAAGATAAACATGAAGATCCCTGGTTCTATGTGATCTTTCTCACCACAACAAAATTTAATACTGTACAGACCTCTTAAACTCACTACAACTGTTGAAAATGCAAGGGAAAAATACTATAGGATCCACTTGTGCATTTTTTTTTCCCTGTTCGTCATGGGAAGATAAGAGAGAAGGAGAAGTCCTCTTGCACAAGCAGAAAAGGATGCTTGTGTTTTCCAAAAGAACAGTACAGTCTGAGTGGGGGGGGGAAGACATTATTATCTCATCTGAGCTTCTTGCATGATTGAGAAGGGGAAGGACGTGACCTGTTGGAAGAACTTAAGTTACAAAATGTTGGGAGCCCTTGGTCTGACTACTGCAGAATCCACCTTGCTTTCATTTTATCAGCACAGTATTATACATTGGTAAATTAAGAAAGATGATAGAGAGGGAGAAAACCCAACCTAATCTGACCCTGTGAAGTGTTACGTTCTACAAAAAGCAAGGATGGAAGATAATGAAACAAAATAATTAACTTTTTAAGCTATGTTGCTTTACATGATGGTCAGGTTCCCAAATAGGACTGGGTGCAGGTGGGAATTGCCTGTGAAAATCCAGCCCCAAGGGTAGGGATGGGCCTTGGTTGTGTTCAAAAAAGTGAAAATAAGCATCTAGGGCTAAATCTACAGTGGTCTTACAGGGTATGTAGACATCAAAGCAGCAACAGCAATATAATGAAGACATGACTGAGGCAAGTGCGTTATTTCATATACTCACTTATAAAACCCAATAATTCCAGAAGCAATTAACGGATCATGATCCACGATATTTCAGAGGGAGCTGACCTGCTTTGAGACCCTTCCAAATCTCAGCAGGTTTCCATCTGAACCTCTGGGCATCCAAACTGATGAAAATGTATTTCTGAAAAGCTAGTCACTCTTTATGACCAGCTGAGGGACAGTTTTGCTTCGTAAGCTTAAACTTTTGTCAATATTTGTGAAATATATTTAGAAACTTGTTCAGAAATGAATAAGTTATAGATCAGTAATTCATACTTCTTTATATTCCAAGTTTTTTATTACCTAATCTTACTCTTCTAAGCATCATTTTATGTTTCTAGTTAAATATAAGTGAGAATTGATTGGGGTATTTCTCAATGGAATTCTATCTTTATTTCATCGTAATTGCTTCATATTTGAATAATGACAGATGAACTACTTCATTCAATTGCAGTTTTAAGGCTTTGAAGTCACAATAGCAGCAAAGGATTTAAATCCTGAAGCCATTATTATGGCAGAGAAGACATCAGGGAAAAGGAAAACTTATGATTGTGTTAATTTTCTAGACAGAAAAATACTTCTGTGGTTGCACTTTATTTTTTCTTTTCCTGGACATTTTACTAACACCAAAGGATCCACTAAACTTCAACAAAATGAAGTAGCTGCAACTTCTAGCAAAACAAATGGCTTCCATCTACCCTGAGAGAAGACATTAGAAATGCTGAATGAGAGTCCGCGCTGTAAGTAAACTTCTGTAGTTATTTTGCTTTGGAGCTAGTTACAAACCATTTAAAATTCTAGGCAGCTGCAATACTGTATTTCACCAATAAAGAGTTCATTAGATCTTTTTTCTCTCTGACATTTACATCTAGTCCTGAGTACATGTTAATACTCCAAGGTATGAATTTCAAAGTTCCCTTTATCTTTATGTACAGTTTTAAGCAATTAATCAAATGATAAAAAAATAGCTTTAAAAATAAGAAACGAATTGTGAATTTAAAGTATATGTTCAAAAAGTTTCTATATTATAATTTGTGGAAGACGGGGCCTCTTATCAACTGAGCAAAGTGCAGAAGTTCTTTTTTTTAAAAACAAAACAAAACACCCTTCCATTTTATTGAAGGAGTTTGAAGAGATCGTCAAATTGTTAAAACATGACCAAGTCATATATCCAGGATAGTTCTTTCTCTTAGGAGGCTACATCAAAGTGGGAGAGACATAGGAAAATCATTATTTAATACGTTCAAAATGACTCCCACGTGGGGCAAGATTTATCCAGGCTTCTGTAATAAGCATGGGGGCAAGCAGCATTGAAACCCCTTCATTTGAAATAAAAGCAAATGGCAGTTTTATCATCGCAGTGCCAAGTATAAAGATGAAGATATATATGAAAACTTTTCCAATTCTTTCTTTCAAAGCATGTTCTGAATGAAAAAAAAAGTATCTGAGTGCTAGAAATACCACTGCAACTTGAAAGGAATGATGTCTTCTGGGATGCCACCTGCCCAGCAGCATATAGATTGTGTAGGTACCCCTAGAGATTGCAGGAGAAGTCATGGTCTCACCTGTTGGAACACAGAGC